CACTGAACATGTAAATGACATTGTGTCTTAATAATAATTGTTAATAATTGTTAGTAATTATTTATGAATTGAAACTAGAATAGATATCTTTACGAACTGTATGGTCTTTTTGCTTTGTCTTTGACATATCCCTTTCAAGTCTGCGAAATAACTTACAGTCCGAATATCTTGATATATCATTTTCAAAGTTAAGAAAGTTGTCCGAGATTTACGTGTATTTATTTAAATATTGGGATTGTAGAAACGTTTTCCGTTCAAGATTAAAATTAACAAAGACTGAGTTTACACTTACAATCTGTAGCATGTGTATAGAAACAGAGTTATCTTTCGTAGGACACAGTTCTAGATATATGTTTACCGCGTCTTTTTTTCGCTAGTCATTCTGTCAGTTTTGTTACCAGATCGGAATACAAATTAAACAATTTAGTAGATAAGGAAGACCGATTGAAAAGACAGCGTACAATATACCTTTACTTTCCCTTTTCTCTCTAAATTTGCATTTCGTTAGCATATGAACATTCCTTAACAACATCTTAAAGTAGTAATTCTGTACTTATATATCAATACAAGAGGATGTGGTATGCTTGCCAATTTGACAACTATCCACCAAAGACCAAATAATGTAAAAAGTTAGTTAGAAACTATAGGCCACCATAAAGCCTTCAACAATGATCACACATAATGAAAAGTAATTTATCAAAATGTAATGTGAAACAATACAAAAAGTGAAAAACCATGCTTTAAAACAATAAACGACAAACAAATATGGCAGACAGCAACCTCCCTTAACCACTGAATTTCAGGACTAAGGAAATGCACATTTAGATGGTAGCTGGGTTAAACATGTCCCCCCCCCCCGCCCCCCCCCCCCCCCCCCTAATTAAGGACAACTGTGTAACGGATTCTCAGATAAAGCACATACAATTACCAATCTTTTAGTTCTTTTGATTTCCCTTCCATTGAATATGATGTAAAACACTTACAGGACCTACCAAAAATTGATTGATTTGCTACCAAAATCACAGAACCTGTCGCAATGTTAATTCACAATTTCACCAAACAAATCAAAAAGTAAGATCAGTGTAAATTTGTCTTTATTTTTCTATGGAAATTATAATTACGATTAATGATCATAAATAAAAGTATTAACTTTAAGTAGAAAAATAGAAGAAGAAAAAACAAAACATAAATAAAACGGGAAGACGGTATTACACTATTTAAACAATAGAATTATTTGAAACTTTAACTACGTTTATGTTGTCGATGCATTTCTGATTGATGATGTAAACCACAATTATTTATCAAATAATGAGCAAACAAAATGCATCTAATCCTGATATATGAGCGAACTATTTGCCACTGGACATTACGAATAAATAATAAATTAATAAATTACCTATCACTAATTCGTGCAGAAATTCTCTAGATTGGAATGGACTTTACAAATTGGGTGGCATTAATATTTAGCAACCCGATGGAAAGTCACGTTCCAGACGACTTCAAAATATTATTGTCGTATATTTCTTTGATGTCATAATGAAGAATTGTAATGTTTTACAATAACTAGTTTATGCTCATTGGTTATTGAAGTGTTAACGTTTTGTAAAGTGCTGGGAAATTATTTTCCGCGGTAGATAATTTAAATTATGATTTAATATAATGGTCTATTACCCTCTTGGAGAAAGTAAAGATAACTATGTTCTTTAAGATTTTATTTACACATTTTAAAAATATTTTACATATTTTTTTATGATGAATCTCTTTTCTAGTTCATAACTATTTTATTCAATTCTCCTATGTACACATTGTTATACCTTAACGTTCTTTCCATTTGCAAACAAATTCAATAATTCTATGGTATCATATGTCGCAAAAAGACAGCCATCAAAAATGATTGAATTATAAAGATGAAATAGAAATAACAGTCATTTCTATACTACATAGACAACTAACAGATAGGTCAATACAGATCCTACCAAACAACTGTCATTACAACACTAAATAGGAAAAGAAACTATAGATAAAATACAACAGTCATAACAACACAGCATAGAAACACTAAACGATTGATCAATACAAATCATACCAAACAACAGTCAATAAAACACAACATATAACTAAACGGTAGATAAACACAGATACTACCAAAAAAACAGTCAATGCAACACTACATAGAACACTAAATGGTAGATCGACACAGATACTACCAAACAACAGTCAAAACAACACTACATAGAAAACTTGACTATAGATTAATACAGATCCTACCAAACAGCAGTCAATACAACACTACATATCAAACTAAACTATAGATTAGTACAGATCCTACAAAACAACAGAGATAACAACACTTCATAGAAAACTGAACCATAGGTTTTACTCATTGTTGAAGTCCGTACGGTGACCTATAGCTGTTAATTTCTGTGTCATTTGGTCTCTTGTGGAGAGTTGTCTGATTGGCAATCATACCACATCTTATTTTGATAAATAGATTAATACAGATCCTACAAAACAACAGTCATAACAACACTTCATAGAAAACGTAACCATTGATCGATACAGATGCTACAAAACAACGGTCATACAACACTACATACCAATTACACGATAGATCATTGATACAGATCCTACCAAACAACAGTCATAACAACACTACATAGAAAAACTAATAGATTAATACAGATCCTATCAAAGAACATTCATAAGAACACTACATAGAAACCTAAACGGTAGATCAACACAGATACTACCAAACAACAGGCACTACAACTCCAAGATATATTCAAAAAACGTTTTCAATCAACGGAACGAGTGAAAAACAACTGTTATATTCCTGACTTGGTACATGCATTTTCCAAAGAAAATGGTGTGTTAAACCTGGTTTTATAGCTAGCTAAACATCCCACTTGTATGACAGTTGTTTATAGTTCTGTTTAATTGACAAAATTGGGTGAATTATTAACTTTAATCTTGCAATTGTCTTGGAATTATCAACTTTTATCTTGGAATTTCCAACTTTAATTTTGGAATTATCAACTTTTATCTTGGAATTATCAACATTAATCTTGGAATTATCAACATTAAATTTGGAAATTTTCACTTCAATCTTCCGACCCTGATTAGTCCGACATTGATTTTTCCGACTTTTTTTAACCTAGTGAATCTCTGAACTGAGAACATAAATTATTAATATAAATATTATGATTTCCGGTTTGAATGGCTGACCACGGTTTTCCAAGCTCCGGGAAATAACACAACAATTAATATCAATGCACAGATGAGAGAGTCACTCTATCTATTTAAGCAATAAACAAAACAACAATTAACATCAGTTATAGATCAAAACACAACAGTTTTCTACTTTGCAACCATGAGTGGTCAAAATAGTGAAAATCCGGCCAGTGACAAAATGGCGGGCTCCTATGTCTTGGCACTTAAACACAGCAACATTAATAAAGATAATGCAGACCCTGATGGTGAAATATTCAACGTCGAGCCTGTATTCATTTTAGAATCAGACATTTTCGGTAGCTCAAAACCTGATACAAACAATTATCTTACAATTATCTTACACATACCGAATTATTCAAATGTATTGATCTTACCATACCAGCTAACCACCTAAATGGTCTTCAGAGAGTCTTTGGAGGAGTATGGCGTATATACCCAGACAGTGAGGAAGACCAAGAAAGTCTTGTGGTTAATTCGATAACAGTTGGGAAAAAGCGCATTGAGGTATACCCAAGACATCCAAAATACGTTGAAAAAGAAAGCCCAACCACAGTGAAAATTAGAATAAAAAATATTCCACTATCCGCTGATGATGGGCAATTGGTAAGGTACCTACAAAATTGCCACCTCGAAGTACTCAACTACCACAGAGAGAGATTAAGAATTGATGTGCTCGTGACAAACTGTCAAACAGGTGACAGAATCTTTTATTGTGAACCCTTTCTCCACACAATTCCAAGAAACGTCAAAATTGTCAAATATCGTGGACTCATTTTCTACAAGGGCCAAATAAATCAGAACAACACAGAAATTAAATGTACCAAATGCCTGCAAAAAGGTCATAAAAAAACAGACTGTAACAATGACTCTAAATGCAAGACATGTGGTGCAAATGGGCACATTTTTAAGGACTGCACAGCTGAGTTTAATGAGAACAGTCAAGTTGACTCAGAAGTATCGTCTGAAGAGTCAGATGAAACAAGTGAAGATGAATCTGAGAAAGGTGAGGAGATTGTTTTATCACAATTAACCGAAAATCTGTTAGATACACCACATACTGAAGAAACCAGTAAAAAACTGAACTTCCGAAAGTTACAAACAACATACATGAACAGGAACAAAACTCATCTGAATTGAAGTCAGACATACCTGCACAACAATCTCCTGAACAAAAATTGAAAAAAAAAGAAAAAAGAAAAAAGCATCCAAATCACAGGGACGACTCACGGTCCACTCGATAAATATCTTGGAACAACCCCTCAGCAGAAATCAGCAAAAAGATCTGCCACCACACCAACTGATACACTGCATGACCGTGGGATTGGCTCAACAAAACCAAAGACATCTGATAACACATAACGATCCGAAAACACATAAGCGTCCAAAAATAAAATACAACTATGAATCATTGGAAATACAGTATTATATTTTTCATTTGTTTGGATATATCTTTTTGTAGCCAGGAAACAAATACAAAAAGTCAGAGTGTGATATAATTTCAGATTATATACACCTTGAAAATAGTATTACAATAAATATGAATGAAAATGTATATACATGTAATAAATTGTGTATAAAACTGTATATTTTAAAAAAAGATGATTTTCAAATGACCCCATTGTTGAATATCGTAAAATCACTATATAAATGTCTCTGTTCTGAATATGCTTTTCAACAAATAACAGATACATGTAGGAACAAGTCAAGTTGTGATAAAACAATCACAAAATTAACATTCTCAGGTTTAAAAAAATATATATGGAAAGCTGTATTGGTAATAAAATTTATTATGATGCATATTACTCATATAAAGAATCATAATACAATAAACATAATAATTATACATATACTTTAAGTTAAACTGTTTAAAAAAACACACTGGCCGCTCGAAGTAGAAATAAAGATAAAAAGAATATATCCTTGATGAATACCAATTCATTAATCCACATATATCCAAAATAAATTTTTCTGAATATATGCTTGCTTTATAACAAATTATCCATCAATCTCAATCCACATATATTAGAATTATTACACTGCCCTTTTTCATTTAACGTAAAAGGCATTTGGATATCTTATTTAATCCACATATTAGGAATACTTCAAAAGTCCTATTTAATCCATATGGTAAAAACCATCCTTCTATCCTCTGCAAGCCACATATTATTTGCCAAAATGTTCCTCCATAGAAATATACAAGTACCGTTTCTGCAAACTATAAACATTTCGATTGTTTCTAAATTTACTGTAAATTCCTACACCATGTATATAGTCCAACAATTACAGCCTACTGTCAAAATATCAGACCTAAAAATAAATAACCATGAAATTATTATACATGATATAAATAAAATATATCTGTTTTCTCAATATATATATATAGTCTCAAAAAATGTAAAAAAAGCAACTGCAAAATCTAATATATATGAACAAATCAATAACATTATGTGCTTAACTACATGTATGCATGCTTATGTATGTTTGTGTCGTTATATTTTATTTATGTTTATGTACATTGTCAAGTTTGTGTTTATATTTTGTTTACTATATGTACTTCTTTCTCAAATAATCATGTACCAATGTTTTTATAGTAACCATAAAATCAAACAACTAATGAAACTATGTAGTGAATATGAGGTGAAACAAATATATCTTCTTTTTGCACTTATGTCAACAACACATTTAAACTTTAAATTTAACAATGATTGAAAATCTTCATATAATATCACTAAACTGTCAAGGTTTAGGCCAAAAAGGAAAAAGAGAAGGATTACAACTATGGACAAAAAATCAAAAATGTAATATTCTTTTCATTCAAGAGTCACATTTTATAGAAAAATATGAACAAACAATAAATAATGAGTTTGATGGTAAAATGTTTCATAGTCATGGTAACACACAATCAAGAGGGGTCTCAATATATGTAAAAAATAATTTAAAATGTAAAACAATAAACGAGATAAAAGATACTGAAGGCAGAATAATTTTGATAAACATAGAAATAAATGACAATATTTTTACTTTAATAAATGTATATGCTCCAAATCAACACAAAAACAGAAATAAATTTTTCAAAAAAGTTCAAAATATAATTGAAAACAATCGATTGGGTATTCTTATACTAGGAGGTGATATGAACGAAACTCTCTCAATTAATGATAAAAAAACTAATAACATCCCAAGAAACTACAAACCAGTGAATAGTTTAAAAAAATTAATACAGAAAAATAATTTAACAGATATATGGAGAAAACTTAATACAAATACAGATCAATTCACATGAAAAAGAAAAAATTATATAAAAATAGCCAGTAGAATTGACTTCTTTTTGATAAGTCCTGATATAAGACCGCATGTTATGAAAGCAGATATTCGACCAGCAATGATCTCTTATACTGATCACCAAGCCATTTCTTTACAAGTTAGACAAAATTCAGAAGAAAGAGGCAGGGGATTTTTCAAAATAAACAATAGTATACTTAAAGAGCAAAATTATATTGACCTCATAAATAAATTAATCGAAAATTATAAGAAACAAATACTCACCAAAAATTTAAAAACACTGTGGGATATGTTTAAATCAGAGGTAAGAACCGCAACTCTTACTTACTGCAAACAAAGATCATCTGAAAATAAAAATGATATAAAAAAATTAGAAATAAAATTAAATGAAAAAACAAATGCAAGCCCATGAAAAAAGAAATTAAAACCATTGAAAATGAACTTGAACACCTCTATTCAAATAAAGTTAAAGGTGCATAAATAAGATCTCGAGTACAATGGTTAGAAGAAGGAGAGAAAAATACTAAATTCTTCCTGGGTCTTGAAAAATCAAGACAAACAAAAAAGAGCATTACAGCGCTAAAAGATAAACAAGGGAAAATAGTTACAGAACACGCAGAAATTTTAAATATAGAAAAATCATACTATGAAAATTTATATTAAAGCACTTCTCCGAATTTAAAAGATATTAAAAATTATATAAATGAGACCAAAATTAATCACAAACTATCTGAAGTAGAAAGTGATTCCTTGGGAGGCCCCTTAACAGTAGAAGAATGCACTAAGGCAATATTTAAAATGAAATTAAATAAATCGCCAGGAATAGATGGGCTAAGTGTAGAATTTTATCGCACTTTTTGGAGTAATTTAAAAGAATTTACAGTTGAAGTTTTTAATAAATGCTATGAAGAAGGAGAACTAACAACCATACAAAAGATAGGTATAATATCCTTAATTTACAAAAAAAAGACCCTTTGTCACTAGATAACTATAGACGAATTACGCTATTAAATGTAGATACAAAACTCATTGCATATGCAATAGCCCAACGTTTAAAACCAATACTGTTGAAAATAATTCACAGCGATCAAAATGGTTATATCAAAAGTAGATATATTGGTTTTAATATACGCCAAATCCAAGACATTATAGATTATGCTGAAACCTTTCATATTGATGGTGCCTTACTTTTTATTGATTTTTCAAAAGCTTTTGATTCATTAGAATGGAGCTTTATGTATGAAGCCCTTATAAAATTTGGTCTCCCAAACTCATTCATTAAATGGGTAAAAACATTATATAAGAATATTAAAGGCTGTATGCTAAATAACGGTTGGATTTCAGAAACTTATAATGTATCTCGTGGGATACGACAAGGATGTCCATGCAGTTCTCTAATTTTCACTACAGCAGTAGAAATTCTTGCATGCAGAATAAGGCAAGATACTGGTATTAAGGGATTTCAAATCAAATTAGACTCTAAAACACATAGTTTGAAAATCTCACAATTAGCAGATGACACTACTCTTTTTTTAAAATGCAAGCAGGAAATAAGCTATGCTTTAAACTTGATTGAAATATTTGGAACACTCTCAGGTCTTAAACTTAACCGATCGAAAACAGAAGGCATATGGCTAGGCAAACTAAAAAGTTCTAAAGATAAATATGAAAATATAAACTGGAATAAAGAACCTATTAAAAGCCTAGGGGTATATTTTGGACTTAACAAAGATGAATGTGACAGATTAAATACAGAAAGAATTTAAAAAAAATCTCAAGATGCAATCAATAACTGGAACAGAAGAAATTTCACAATGATAGGTAGAATAACAGTAATTAAATCTCTTATCCTACCAAATTTAACTTTCTTGGCATCAGTTACAATTATATCCAAAGAATTTTTGAATGAATTTAAAAAACTGATTTACAACTTCATTTGGGGTAATAAAAAAAGAAAAAGTTAAATGGATAACTTTATGTAAAGATTATTTGGAAGGAGGCCTTAAAATGATTAATATTAACAATTTCCTATCAGCTATACAATTATCCTGGGTCAAACGATTAACATCAAAACACTTTGCAAACTGGAAAGTTATTCCCCTTTTCTTTTTAAATACATTTGGAGAAAACTTTTCTTTATTCAACATGAATCCAGGTAGCATAAAAGCAATCCCAAACCTTAGTAAATCACTCCCTCTTTTCTACTTAGAAATAGTTAAAAGTTGGTTTAAATTAAAAAAATATCTCAAACAAAAATAATAGTACAACTTTTGTTAATATAAGACAACAATACATTTTGGGCAATAAACATATAAAACTTCAAAACAAATGCTTAATATTTTCACATTGGATAACAAACGGGATACTATTTATTAATGATATAATCGACAAAGCAGGAAAAATTTCACAAAGATAATATTAGATAAATTGACCATTAAATCTAATTGGATATCAGAACTATCTAAAATAAAACATGCAATACCAAAAAAGTGGCAAACGGAAATGAAATCAGATAAATCGTGCTACACTCAAGTTGAAACAAATAAAAAGATATACATAAAAACGCAAAATAGTACAAAACTGATCTGCATTGAAAACCTTCCATCAAAAGAAATATATAAAAGCATTAATTCATGTAATATAGAGGAAGAAACACCAATTGGCTTTCTAAAATGGAAAACACATTTTAAATTAGATTCGTCAAGTAATCTATATAAAATGCTTAACTTTATATTTTATAGCTTACAAGTTAATAAATTAAAAGTATTCAGGTGGAAGTTACTTCACTATATCCTTCCTTGTAAACAGCTATTGTATATCTGGAAACTGAAAAACGATGACCAGTGCCATATTTGCAATCAATTATAAAACTATGAACACTTTTTCATTACTTGCAAATACTTTCAAACTTTTTGGAAAAAGGTCAAAGTACTCCTTAATAAAATAAGAATGGGGACACAGATAATCACCTATAAAAATCTAATAATTGGCTACAAAATATATGATAAAACATACTATGACATAAATCTGTTTCTCACTGTATTAATGTTCTCTATTCATAAATCTACATATGCATCAGAGTATAAACAACATAATGTTGATGTCTATAGAATTTTTAAGTTAGAATTTAAACAATACTTTGAAAGTATGAAACTTCTTGATAAAAATACAATAGATTTTTGAATGATGTTTATAAAAATATATAATAACCATGTTTATATTGTATCATGTGTATATGGTTTTTTTTTCAGTATCATTATACACTGTATATTACGTAGAATAACCTATATGAAATGTAAACAACTGCGAAATTTTAAGTTTCATGTGTGTGTTTTTAAAAATGTGATAAATGATCAATGTTTACCTGTACAACAAACTTATTGAACATTGACCCTGTACTGTCTACTGACCGGAAAAATCCTTGATATTTAAGAATAAATTATGATTCTTTCTATAAATTTATTTAAAAGCGATGGAAATATTTCCAAAACTCACCATTAGAAATACTTAGATAAGATCCTTCTGCTCTCAAACTTCAAAATGTTTTGGTAGGGGTGTGCCATTTTTGCATTAAAAAATGTACCCTTTTTTATATAGCATTCACTAATATTAGGTACCTAAATTTATATATAAATATATACGAAGAATGACCTTTACTTTTTTTACATTGTTTCAATTTTTAAATGCAGAGATTCAGGGACTATATAAAGTCACTGATTGATTCAAGTACCACAATTAGCCATTAATATCAGATTTCCAATAACATATTTATATAAGATATGTAGAACATACGTCAAATCAATATAAAATTATGAATGAACAATGGATATCAATATAGAATGTCATTAACAAATTAAAAAGCAGTGTCATCTTTAAAATCTCGCAAAATTATGACCTATATATTTAGCATATCCACGTATACCCATTACTAGGAAGTTACACCCCTCATGAATATTAGGCTATGTGAAGCTATACAAGACTTTAGATAAATGCATATATATTTTTTACCTTTTACCAAAAATTTAGCCTCGAATTATAAGTAGATGAAGTATAAATTGAGAAATACAATAAACTATGAGCTAGAAGTAAAATATCAGTCATTTCTAAGATTAACGTTGATAATTCTAAGATTAAATTTGATAATTCCAAATTTAAAGTTGGAAATTCCAAGATTAAAGTTGATAATTCCAAGATTAAAGTTGATAATTCCAAGATTAAAGTTGAAAATTCCAAGATTAAAGTTGATAATTCCAAGATTAAAGTTGATAATTGCAAGATTAAAAATTGAAATTCCAAGATTAAAGTTGGTAATTCCAAGATTAAAGTCGACAAATTGAAAAAAAAAAAAAACGATGGCCCTTATACGCTTCCGTACTTTCTATCTCTTTCATTTTAATTCTCAAATGTCTTTCTGTTTCATCCGTTTCTTTATACTAGGTGAGTATAATTTGTTGTATTTACAGTACAATATATGTTTATATAAGTTGACAATAACATTGAGCTTATATATCAGGTATAGAAAAAAACATATCGGCTGTGGAAATTTGCTGAAAAAGAGACCAATAGTTGCGATAAAATTTTGAATCCCCATTACAATGAGGTTGGCAATTTAGTGTGTATGGATTGATTTTGAATTGTTTATGATCTATCTCAGGGGCATTAAATGGGAGATAAGTTCACTTTGATCACAGTTTCATTTTTTTTAATTTTTTTATTTTTGCTGCATGCTTCTTTACTTTAAGAGAGACTGGGATATATAAAATAAAAATACAATTAGGAGAACTGGTACGATTGCGAAATATACAACTATCAATTAAAACTCAAATGAATTTGATGAAAGCAATTATAGGCAACCGTACGGCATTCAATAATAAGAAAACCCCATACTGTATAGTCGGCTATAAAAGGCCCTGACATGAAAAATACGAAAATGTTCAATTGAAAAAATAAACAACTCGAGTTAAGCATGCCGCCCTCTTAAATTATGTACATGATATATATCTACATGCAAACTAATCAAAGCTGATCTAAACTGATTTTTAGACCATTTCATGAAATTAATTGTATGCTACATATTTCAAGTTAACAATTGAAAGAATAAACAGGGAAAGTTTATCACCATGTGGACGTCAAGTAACAGCAATCGTTTACAAATTTATACATTCAGAGCAAAAAGAAAACCAAATTTCCGATAATGTTATCAGATCGTTGACAAGTAAATATTTCCAGCAAAAAGTAAAATAACACAAGTTCCGAATTAAATTTAATGTTTAACCACGGAGATTTGAAATCGCTACTTTTCATGAAAAAATGCTTTTTCACCGATTTTAATATACATTATCAATGCTCTTCACCTTCGTACTTTATTTGGCTTTTTTAAATTTTTTTGATTCGAGCGTCACTGATGAGTCTTTTGTAGATGAAACGCGCGTCTGCGCAAATACAAAATTTCAATCCTGGTATCTATAATGAGTTTATTATTCTATACATGTATGACCCATCTTATACATTCTTTATTTACCATATATTTTGAATACTTATGTTAAATCGATATGTTTTGATTTCTTTGCTAATGAATGTTTGAAGTACCTTCTAATTTAGTTTACTTTGCTTTCAGATGAAGAGAATTATGATAGTTATTTTGAGTATTTTGTAATATATCACGAACAGGTACAGTGACCACGTTTTGCTTGTTTATTTGATAAATCTATAAAGGTGCAATCTTTTGATATGTGTTTTTTTTTTTTTTATAAAATTGAGAATGGAAATGGGGAATGCGTCAAAGAGACAACAACCCGATCAAAGAGCAGAAAACAGCCGAGGGCCACCAATGGGTCTTCAACACATGGAGAAAATCTCGCACCCGGAGGCGGGTTTCAGCTGGCCCCTAAACAAAACAATGTGTACTAGTTCAATGAAAATGGACGTCATACTAAACTCCAAAACATATAAATGAACTAAAATTAAAAATCATACAAGACTAACAATGGCTAGAGGCTCCTGACTTGGGACAGGCGCAAAATGCGGCGGGGTTAAACATGTTTAGTGAGATCTCAACCCTCCACCTATAGCTCTAGTCATTGTAGAAAATCAAACACACAGCTATACGCACAGTAAAACTCAGTAAAAAAGAAGTCCGAGTCCAATGTCAGAATAGGTAACAAAAGAAACTAAGCAAAATGACAATGATACATAGATTAACAAAGGACTACTAGCAGTTACTGACATGCCAGCTCAAGACCTCAATTAATAGTTACAAAGGTACCAGGATTAAACTGATTGGAATGTTATGTCTTCATCATATGAAAATATGCCCATCCCTCCCGTTAAGGATTTAGTATCATACCATTATAAAATATATAAGAAGATCATAACCCGTATCATGGCAACAACTAGTTTTAGAATAATTGTGTTTATTTCCGATGCAAAGACCCCTTGACCCTTATAATCTACTATATAGTTATTTTGCTTTTCCCCTAATGTTAACTAAAACTCCTTTTTGTGTATAATCCCAACGATGATATTGTATGCCTACCCTGCAGCTTGAAACCAAACTCGACAACCTATATTTTATTTAAATATTTTGAATATAGAACAACGCAAAATACATTTTTGGAAAATATTCTGATTTTCCTGAATTGTTTTTATCATATCCACCTACTTCCTTAAGTATAATTTAAAAAATTCTTAATCGACAAGAAACAAAAGAAAAAATATTTGTTCAAACGATATTTATTCTTCCTTCTTCCTAAGAAATAAAGTATATAGAAATATTTTGTCAAACATGGATAGATTTATAGCACTGTTGTAACAAATTTTCCATATTTGTTTACTACTACTTCCTGGTATCTTCAATCTCCTTTGTTTTGTAACTTACATATTCAATAGATCAACTCATCAAACATCTGACTACAGGGTGACATAAAAACTTGATAGGACAAAAGTAACTAGCGAAATGACAAAGCGGGCAAGTAAATGAATATTAGAAACGATAGCAACACCCTCAACGATTCCATGTTACCCACAGTACCAAACATTGAGTAAACAGGAAATATTTTATAACATATTCATAATATGAGACTATAAATCAACTATCGTAGATATACATAAATCACTTTTTTTTCCAAAAAATAAAAAAGAAAGTTTTAAATTTGAGTCAGTGAAAATGGAGAATATACGATGTAACACATTTTATCATAATTGATATCATTTCCATTATGATAATTAGCTCACCTGACTCAAAGGGCCATATGAGCTTTATCAAAACTTGGCGTCTGTTGTCTGTAGTCGTACGTCAATATGGCCAAACTTGGCTGAAATAGAACATTGAGATTGAATGCAACATTTGTCCATTATTTTAAAAAACCGCTATAAACATAGTAAATCTGACAGAATAAAAATGTTCAATATTTGAGAATGTATTCTTGTCCATTTTCATCACTGTTAGACGGCTTCTTGTGGCATTAAATGAAAAATTTTGCCAATCGTTTTTTTTTTTTTTTTCAGTCGACTACTTATTAAAGTTCTTGCTCTTTAATGACAATGTTAACAATTTCTTGCATTTTGTCTATTATCTTTTAAAAAAATATACGAAATATATGGAAAAAGGCGACAACACAAGATCTACAAATAAGTTAAACGAAATCGTTGGTAGACTCTGTAAAGAAGTGATTGCCTTTAAAGGACGATTGGTAACATTGTTGTTTTTTTTTGTGTTTTGGAGAAACGATCAGCAATACAAGTTTTACAAAAAAGATATTTTTGTACTGAATCATATTCTAGTTGAAGATTCACAGACTTAAGTGGTCATGAACGACACATGCTCTTAAGAGCCTCTAGTTGTTATTATCGTATTTGATAAGGCTCATAAGGTTTCATTTTTTTCTGTATATAAAAATTAGAAGATGTGGGATGATTGCCAATGAGACAACTCTCCACAAGAGACAAAATGACGCAGCAACTAACACTTCTGGGTCATCGTACGGCCTCCAACAATGTGTAAAACCAATATCCCATTGTCAGCAAAACATGGCCCCAAAATGCCGAATGTAAAACTAACGGACTGATTTATGTACAAAATAATGAACGTAAAACATAATGATAGACATAAACCAACGAAACCACCGAATTGCAGGCTTCTGACTTGAGACATACAAATTCCATCACTGCAACAAGCGTATAACGATATTTCTCCATTCGAGACAATTAAATTGTAATATTTAAAGCGCGAGGCTTGCCGAGCTTTTTAAATAATTAAAATTTAACTGTTGAAAATGGAGAAATATCGTAATACACGAGTTATGGTGGTGGAATCTGTTTTTCTAATGATTTTTATCCTTCCTTTTCAAAGATTTGCAGAAAGTTGTGTTCTCTATATGTGACGTTATCAGTCATGGTCGCATTTTTTCAGGACGTCACAATAGGAAATTCAGAAGAAATCAAGAAAATGTAACGTCATAATTAAATTTCGACCAATCATTTGCTGAGAACAGATATTTCACTATTGATGGGAAATATTTTTCTCACACCGCTCAAGAA